AAAAAAAAAAAAGAAACGGAAACAACCAAATACGAATTGGAAAGAGCAAAGCAAAAAGTGGGAAATGGAGAAAATAAAAAAACTAAACAAAAAAATGGTTAAAAATGAAACGACACTTCAAGAATATTGAATGAAGAATTGAACTTCATATTACAAAAATAGGTTAAAAAGATTTTGATAAACTGAAAGAATAATTGCTGAAAAAAACAGAACAAATATTGACATTCGCAGCAAAAAGGAAAAAATAAATGAACTAGACAGAAACAATGAAGTTAATATTTCTAACAATTATCATGCAATTTGCTGGACTAGGTAAAACATCATGCCTAAGGGAAAATGTAAACATGACAGGATGCACATCCCAGAATAAGGGTAAGAAATCAATAAACAAAAGCAAACAATACGATGATGTATGTCCAACATAAGAGGCTCACATGAAATACATCCTGTATTGGCCAGCCGCCACGCAATCTAGACACATCTTTCGTGGCGATATCTCTCTCAGCAACAGCCAACACTTCATCGAAAACGATTCTTGAGCTGGTACTCTCAGCAAGAGAAGAGATCTTTAAACAGTTGAGGAAACTTTCATGGATCCTTTGAATACAGTTAACTTCCAGCTCTCAAAAGCCAATATGAGAAGGTAACAGGCAACAAAAACTCTTTTGCAAACATTACCCGGTAAAGATGAATAATAAATAAGGATACAGCTCCAAGTGTTTCTTGACGTAGGTACTTCTCAGTAACATGAATGGCAGCAGAAAGCAAAGATTGGGTCGTCCTGGTACCATATCCATAAGGACTCAATCAACAAAAATGCGAAAAAATTAAGTTCCTAGCACAATTAATACAAGTCACAATTCTTCACTCCACCTAGAGATTTCAGCCTCATTTAGCTCCCTACCCCTCTCTGTAATGAACTCAATCACAGCTTGAATTGCACCTTCAGCAGACTGTTTGACCCTGTCACATATAGCTGCTGAGCAAGCGTGTAAAGCAGCTACCAGCTGTGGAAAGTGAATATAGAAAGGTAACTATGCACAGTAGTCATCAAAAGAATTTAACTATCTCAAAAGGTAAAGAATGCAAACAAAAACTTAAAGCATTCAAACTACTACCTCGTCCTTAGTGAATAATATGCTTACAGAGGAAACAACTCTGTTAAAGACCTCAGACGGATCAAGGGATGCATCCTACAAGAAAAGGTAAATATGGGAATTAGTACTTCTTAAAATAGAAAAAAAAAAA